AGGCAGAATGGGTACATGCCAGATATGACCAATTGAATCTGATTGAAGAAAAGAGATTGAAAGCTATTTGTCACGGTCAGATATACCAGAAGCGGATGATACGAGCACATGATAAGAAAGTTCACCCTCGAGAAATCCACGAAGGAGATCTGGTGCTCAGGAGGATATTGCCCATTCAAAAAGATTCCCGAGGGAAATGGATGCCCAAGTGGGAAGGACCCTATGTTGTCAAGAAAGCCTTCTCTGGGGGAGCTCTAGTCTTAACTGAGATGGATGGGTCTGAATTGCCTTATCTAGTGAATTCTGATGCAGTTAAGAGGTATTTTGCTTGAAGAAAAAAAGAAGAAGGAAAAATGAATGAAAAAAATAAAAAAAAATGAATGAAAAAATGAAAAGAAAAAAAAAGAAAAAAAAGGAGGGTTCAAGATGAAAACTCGAAAAGGGAGTCTTGAAACCAAATGAGGTCTCGAGTCGAAAACTCACAAAGGGAGGCTTGAGTTTTAAATTCAGAGTTCGTGCATGGTGGAGGATCTGAATTGTTTTTGGAAGTAGGAAGAGCTCCTGACATGGGTAACGACAATGGCAGTTGGTGATCGGGGTTGAGACCAAAGATTAATGAATCTCGATGAAAACAACCAGAGGATAAATTGAATGCACATGAGATTCAATACTAGTTTATGTCATCCAGTAATGGGAGATTTGGGGGTTCAGAAAGAGCTTCGCACACTTATGTGTAATCACAATTTTGGAGATCCTTTTGACAGAAGCTACACTCGAGTCATTCTAACGGCGTGCCAGTTCAAAAGCATTTGTGTTATTGATATTTGAAAACGCCTATCCTTTTGTTCTTTTTCTAATTAAAAGTTTGCCATGTATTTGCCTAAAAATTCTCTGCGTTTATATGAATAAAGTGATATTTTTCCTTTTCAATTCCCCTTTTACAAGCATCTGATTTTGAAAAGGTTAAAACATATAGCTTAACTTGGGGTAAATGAGATCATTTTGTATTATTATGCAAAAGGTTTTGGAAAATGCAGGTATTCTGAAGCTAACATTGGTTTTAGCATGTAAGTTTGTATGGTTGTGGGAAGCTAAAACCTTGGAATTCATAGACAATCCTATCCATTAATAGATGACCCGAAGAAATTGTCATTTATCAAGAAGTTGGTCATGTGTACTGGCGGGTTTCAAGAAAGAAAGAAGTCAAAGTCCTGTCAAGCCGAAAGTTATGGTGTTGAGATTATCAACTGGGGTGAACCGGTCAAATGTTCTGTGCCCAAGACAAAACCAAGATCCATTGAGAGATGGTGTTCCTTTGAAGAAGAAAGTGCATTAAATTGCATAATTGCATACATCGTAGGCATGAATAGGATCATAGCATTGCATGATGATTTAAAATATCTACAGGTTCCCCAACAATTGTTGAAGATTGTTCGAGTCTTATACTCTCTGAAGAAATAGGGAGTAGACACGATTGTTGAAGATTGTTCGAGTCTTATACTCTCTGAAGAAATAGGGGACAGACACGATTGTTGAAGATTGTTCGAGTCTTATACTCTCTGAAGAAATAGGGAGCAGACACGAGTGTTGAAGATTGTTCGAGTCTTATACTCTCTGAAGAAATAGGGAGCAGACATGATTATTGATGATTGTTCGAGTTCTATACTCCCTGAAGAAAGAGGGAGCAAACCCGTTTGCAGATGATTGTTCAAGTTTTATACTCCCTGAAGGAAGAGGGAACGAACCCGATTAATGAAGATTGTCCGAGTTCTATACTCCCTATAGAAAGAGGGAGTGAACCCGTTGGCTGAAGATTTTTCAAGTCTCACTCACCTTAAAGGAAGAGTGGAGCAAATCCCTTATCAAGTTTCAAAGCGAAAATGAAATTGGACAAAAATGCGTTGTCTTTTTATCTTTGCCCTATTCTTGTTAACATAAGAAGGAGCAAAGAGGGGCAGCTATAGACACCCGTTTTTGTCCGGGTTATAAATATTATATTAATTATTATTGTTATATAATAATTATATAATAATTATTATTATTATTATATTATAATAATTATTGCTAATAGTATTAATGTTACTTTTATTTATTTCTATTGCAGGCTTTACAACATTAACCCAAACTGGGCCAGATTACATTCAACCCAAACAAAATTCAACAGCCCAAACCCGGACTGAAGGGGCAGTCCAGTGCTACAGTCCAACCTTAAATCAAAACCTTAAATCATTAGGGTTCCCTGTCACCAACCTTCAGCGCCGCAGCAGGAAGGCCGTTGGATATGGCTTCAAGATCCAACGGTTACCAGCTCTCCATGATTCCCAAGCCAACTGCAGACCCACGGGAAGCCACCACCACGCTGCCAGATCATGCACGCCCAACCGGAAAACAGCTCGGCTCCCTACAGCTGCCGCCCGTGACCTGCTCTCGCCAGTGCCCTGCAAACACACCAAACAAGAAACAAAACGAGAGGCACAGAAAATGGAGAGGGGAAATCAAGTAGAAATAACCACAAAGAAACCAGAGGAAAAGGGGGGAGGCTATCGGTTATCAACAAATCAAGAGTCATCACTGAAAAAATGATACATCCAGAACTCAAAATATTAGAACCCAAAAAAAATCAACCACAAAGAGCCATCAACAAAAAAAATAAACACGGAAAATACCCAGAGAGTTACCCAAGCAACCAGAGAAAAAAGACATACCTTTACTTACCAGAGAAGTTCGCGTCGCCGTTGCTAGGACAGGTACCTCGTCGAGTCGAAGGTAAACCCTTCACCCATCGTTGATTTCCGGTCGTTTTTGGCCATGCATGTCCGTTTTAGACTTTGGTTTGGTAACTAAAGGGGTAGATCAGGATAGACCTTTGATTTTAGGGTTGAGTTAAGGTTTGTTTGGTTTCGTCGGGGTTTGATAGAGGAGGGGTTTTGTTTTGAAGGTCTAGGTCTAGGTTCGTCGAGGTTGAGGGGTTTTTCATCGTGGCCGTGGGATACGGTGGAGGCCGTGGAGGCTTTTGTCTCGTATGGGTTTTGAAGAGGAGATGAATGGTTTATGTTCTTAGGGGGTTAGATTTTAGGTTTCACGCCGGTGTGACTCCTCGTCGGGGTTGTTAGAGGGTGGAGGCCGCGAAGGCCTTAGGTTTTTAGGATCATAGAGGGGAGCTTGAGAGGGGTTGAGAGAAAACGACGGGGGGACGTCTGGCTAAGCTGAGGAGAAAATGAAATTAGGTTTAGGATTTACCCTAAATATCCCATATATTCGTACGCCAAAACGGTGTAGTTTCGCGGTGGTCCAAAACGGTGATGTTTTGATGTTTAGGGGAGGTATCCGTATTTTAGAAAAGTAGACTAATAGCTGTTTGGGTCCTCCTGATTTCAACCCGTTATGTTATAATCCCTAAACCGAGCTTTGCTGATATTTTAATTTTGTCTCTTAACTTTCTGCGCGTTCCATTTTAGTCCAGTTTTATGTTATGTTTACTTTCGCGATTGTTTTACATTGGATGTGTAATCTTGAAAACTTTTATTTTGGTCATGTGTAGTATTTTGGTCATATTATGTTGGGAGTGCCTTGAATTAAAATGTTTATGAAATGAGACTATTGTTTAATTTCTTTATATTTTAGCCCTTGTTTAATTCTTTTGATTCGTATGTTTAATTTCGATTTCATTCATATTTATTCACTTTTTAAAATATGTATATATCTATATCTTTAAATTTTATAGTTTTGCATGTCATGTTCTTATTATTATATTTAAGTCGTGTATGTACATTATATGTTAATATGTGTGGTTATATCTTTTAATTAAAATATATGTATATAATTTTTTATTTCACGTTGCATGATATTTTAATCATAATATTTGTTTAATTACTCTTTGTATGGCATTCATTTAGCATAATTTGTATGATAGCCTCACGTGCATAACTCGATCTAATCACATAATCGGATTAAGGGTAATACTCTTTTAATTTAAAATTGTCAGAATGACCTTTCTTAACTTACAGGAAAGTTGTTTTGACGATTTTAAATTACAAGTGTATCTCATCAGTGACACCAAAAATTCGATTTAGTCACCTTAAAAGTTGGTAGCGAAAGAAAAGGAAATATTCAGTTATTTAAAATTTTCAAGGAAAGGTCGTTAGAACCGAACTAAAGATCTGGTCTCGATATTTTTAAATAATTGAATATTCTTTATCTTTCTAATGGCTTGGTAATCTTAATTTAATTTATTTTGTTGCTTTTGAACAATACAAAATTTGCATTGTTGTTTTAAGGGATCAAAAATTAAATTAAAATTGAACTTGTAAAATTCGTTGCAAAGACATTAATTAATCGACTAGGTACCGATTCAGGGCGCTGTGGAGGTGTTAATCCTTCCCCACGCGTAATCGACTCCCGAACTCAGATTTTGATAATGCAGACCTTAATTTGTTGTTTTAATTAAAATTTATTTTTATTTAAAATGACAATGTTTTTGGGTGCCCAATCACACCCTAATCAAAGATTGGTGGCGACTCCTCGAACCGTTATTTTATCGTAAATGAAATCCCAAATTTTTCGAAACAAGAGGTTTTCTAAAATCGTATTGTTTTTAATTAAAATTCAATCATAAAGAAAATAATTAAAAATTTGACGCGGTTTTCAAAATCTCGTTCTCCACCTTTTAAAAATCGTTTCGACATATTTATTCTTATTTTGCTTTGGAGGCTGGAGTACTACCTTAATGGCTGCATCAAAGACTGCCTTCACATTCTGCACCAGTAAGATTCCATCAGAAGTAAAGGGCCTCAACAATTTATGATTAAAATTATGAAGAATATGTAGAGTATATTTTACCTGCTGTGTTTTTTAACTACACTCGATGTAGGCAGGAGCCCCTATTTGTTTCTTTGACTCCACTCCCTTCATAACGAAGTGATGCAAGACCAATATTTAAAACAACAGGAACATATTCTTACTAAATTATAATAATAACGTTGATGATGTGTAAACAAGTATCTGAACTGTAAAGTTCGGTGACGCAGCAGGATGGTCTATAAAGTATTGCTCATCATCTCGGAGATCTGCAACAGAAAATAGTAGAAAAGATGACAGATTTCATGAATAGAACTTAAAAATATCGTACTCAGACTCAAGTGTGACTGTTAGACATGGGAATAATTAGATTTTTCTTTCGTGTATTTAAAGGATTGTTAGAAGTAATATCCATAACTACCTCTACGATGGGAGTGTTGGACATATATACTTCAAAAAAAAAAATTAAGAGCGACATAGTTCAAAAACATTAGTGTAACAGGATACTATATTTATTTTGGGAAAATCTTATATCACTTAGGGAATCAGACCTGTTGCAATTAATAAACACGACCGTTGCAAGCATATATTGTTAAAAGTCATCATGGGCGGCTAATCTTCTAGATGGCAGCCAATTACTTTGATTTAATTCAAAAATGGTTGCATTTTGTTGAAAAAAAAGGGATAATTACAACATTTTAATCATTAAACTTTAGGATATTTACAAGATTAAGTCCTTAAGATTTAGCTATAAATACCCTATCTCATTTAGCTTCAAAATCATCCCAAAGCATTCTAGTTTTCTTCCAATACTAGAGAGAATTTAGAGAGTTTCTTGAGAGTTGTTTTCTCCTTTTTATCAAGAGAGAATTATCATTGTTTTATCCTTGGTAGATCGAGAGAGGTTGTAATTCCTATTTTCTCATAGTGAAATTCTTCTACCGTTGCACGTGGTTTTTACCCTAAATTTTTTAGGGGTTTTCCACGTAAATTTTCTCTCTTTTATCTTCATTTTTATTTTCTCAAATTATCAGTTGCGATTTTGCTCTATCCGATAGCCGTCTTCCGCAACAATTGGTATCCGAGCTAGATTTGAGTGTGTAATATCTGCTTATTGTCTTTGTGGTTGCCACCAAAAGGTGGATCCTCCAATATAAGAAAATAAGAAGGTATTACACATTCTTTGAGGTTCTAGAGAACTATTCATGATAGTGAAATAGTGGGAGCTATCAATAATAGAAGCTATGACAACAAAATTTGACATTGAAAAGTTCAATGGGAGAAATTTCTCATTGTGGAAATTGAAGATGAAGGCCATCCTAAGGAAAGACGGGTGTCTAGCGGCTATCAATGAAAGGCCGGTGGATTTTGCAGATGACATCAAATGGAACGAGATGGACGGGACTGCTATGGCAAACTTTCATCTAGCATTAGCAGATGAAGTATTGTCAAGCATCGAGGAGAAAAAGACAACTAAAGAGATATGGGATCATCTCACCAAATTGTACGAGGCCACATCATTGCACAATAAAATTTTCCTTAAAAGGAAATTGTACACTCTTCGTATGCCAGAATCTACTTCAGTGACGGAGCCCTTAAATACACTGAACACCTTATTTTCTCAGCTTACATCCTTAAGCTGTAAAATTGGAGAACAAGAACGTGCTGAACTTCTACTTCAAAGTCTACTGGATTCGTATGATCAACTCATCATCAACTTGACAAACAGTAATGTCACCAGTCTAGTCTTCGATGACGTTGCAGTTGCTGTCCTACAAGAAGAAAATCAGTGCAAGAACAAGGAAGACATACAAGTACATCTGCAACAAGCAGAAGCGTTGACAACGATGAGAGGGAGATCACCAGAACGTGGCCAAAGCAGCAGTCATAAACATGGTAGATCGAAGTCGAGGAGCAAGAAGAATTTAAAGTGAGGAAGACATACAAGTACACTTGAAGAAGGATTGTTGGAGTCTTAATTAAAACTCCAATCCACAAGGCAATACCGCAAACACTTCAGATGATGGAGATGCTCTATGTTGTAAAGCGTCAACCGCCATGGAAGGAAGAAAACGATTTGCAGATATATGGCCCATTGATTCGGGAGCAACATATCACATGACCTCAAGAAGAGAACCATCATTATGAACCAGTCTCATGAGGATCTGTGTATAGTTGCAATGATCATGCCTTAGAAATCATTGGCGTGGGAACCATCAAATTGAAGACGTATGATGGAATAATTAAAGTTATTCGAGATGTGCGGCACGTGAAAGGTCTGAAGAAAAATTTATTATCCTACGGATTATTGGATAATAATGCTAGCAAGATTGAAACACGGAAAGGAATCATGAAGGTGTTCCATGGAGCCCTTGTGGTGCTGAAAGGTGAAAAGATAGTTGCAAACTTGTACATGCTGAAGGGAGAGACATTGCTAGAAGCAGAAGCCTCTGTTGCCTCATGTAGTTCAGATTCTACAATGCTATGGCATAAGAAACTTGGACACATGTCAGAACAAGGAATGAAAGTCCTTGTTGAGAAAAAGCTACTTCCAGGCTTAACAAAGGTATCACTTACTTTGTGTGAGCATTGCATAACAAGTAAACAGCACCGGTTGAAATTCAACACATCAAATTCTAGAGGCAAAAGTGTTCTAGAATTGGTTCACTCTGACGTATGGCAAGCACCAGTAACATCCCTAGGTGGAGCAAAATACTTTGTCTCATTTATTGATGACTACTCCAGGAGATGTTGGGTGCACCCTATTAAGAAGAAGTCAGACGTGTTTTCAACTTTCAAAAACTTCAAAGCGCGGGTGGAACTTGATTCTGGAAATAAGATCAAGTGTTTCAGAACAGATAATGGAGAAGAATACACAAGCGAAGAATTTGATGACTTTTGTAAGAAATAATGCATCAAAAGACAGTTCACAGTGGCGAACACTCCTCAATAAAATGGAGTGGCAGAGCAGATGAACAGAACCTTGTTAGAAAGAACAAGAACAATGTTGAGGGACACAGGCCTAGAAAAATCATTCTGGGCAGAAGCAGTCAATATCGCCTGTTATTTGGTGAATCGAGCTCCATCAACTGTAATAGAGCTGAAGACACCAATGGAGATGTGGACTGGTAAACCAGTTGATTATTCAAACCTCCATGTATTTGGAAGTATTGTGTATGTGATGTACAACGCCCAAGAAATTTCAAAGTTGGATCCAAAATCTAGGAAATGCAAATTCTTGGGGTATGCTGATGGAGTAAAGGGGTATCGCTTGTGGGATCTCACTTCCCGCAAAGTGATCATTAGCAGGGATGTTATCTTTGTAGAAGATAAGCTACAAAGAAAAGAAGACGATGACAGCGTTGAAAAGTCAGAGACTACATAGATACATGTGGAAAATGAGTTTGAACAAGGAGATTCTTTTGAAGCAGAACAAGAACCAGAGAGTTCTAAAGCTCCAACAACTCGTCAATCAGATAGTGTGAGAAGACGTCCCAATTGGCACTCAGATTATGTTATAGAAGGAAATGTTGCATACTGTCTTTTAATAGAGGACGGTGAGCCATCAACATATCAGGAGGCAATAAACAGCTCAGATGCTTCACTGTGGATGATGGCGATGCAAGAAGAAATCGAAGCCCTTCATAAAAATAATACATGGGACCTTGTGCCACTACCACAAGGAAGGAAGCCAATTGGTAACAAATGAGTTTTCAAAATCAAGCGAAATGGTGACGATCAAGTGGAGAGGTATCGTGCAAGACCGGTGGTCAAAGGATATGCTCAGAAAGAAGGTATTGATTTCAATGAAATTTTTTCTCCTGTGGTTCGACTAACAACAGTTCGAGTAGTCTTGGCAATGTGTGCTACATTGAATTTACATTTGGAACAACTAGATGTTAAAACAACTTTTCTTCATGGAAATCTTGAAGAAGAGATTTATATGCTCCAGCCTGAAGGTTTTGAAGAAGACGAAAAGAAGAACTTGATTTGTAGGTTAAAAAAATCTCTGTACAGTCTAAAGCAGGCGCCGAGGTGTTGGTATAAGAGATTTGATTCCTTCATTATGTGTCTTGGATACAACAGACTTAATGCAGACCCTTGTGCTTATTTCAAGAGGTCTGGTGATAACGATTTTGTTATATTGTTGTTCTATGTGGATGACATGTTGGTTGCAGAACCCAACAAAGATCATATTGAAGAATTGAAGGCACAACTGGCTAGGGAATTTGAAATGAAGGACTTGGGATCAGCAAACAAGATTCTAGGGATGCAAATTCACCGAGACATAAGTAATAGGAAGATTTGGCTTTCACAAAAGAATAACTTGAAGAAAATCTTGTCACGATTTAGCATGAAAGATTGTAAGCCAATTTCTACCCCTCTTCCTATTAACTTCAAATTATCCTCCAGTATGAGTCCTAGCAGTGAAGAATAGAGGATGGAGATGTCTCGAGTACTGTATGCATCAGCAGTGGGAAGTTTAATGTTCGCTATGATATGCACAAGACCAGACATTGCACAAGCAGTGGGAGTGGTTAGTCGGTACATGGTGAATCCAGGAAAAGAGCATTGGAATATTGTAAAGAGGATCCTAAGAAACATCAAAGGGACCTCAAATGTTGCATTATATTACGGAGGATCAAACTTACTTATAAATGGGTATGTCGATTCTGACTATGCAGGGGATTTGGATAAAAGCAAATCTACTACAGGATATGTGTTCAAAGTTGCTGGTGGAGCTGTAAGCTGGGTTTCAAAATTGCAGTCAGTTGTGGCTACATCCACAACAGAGGCAGAATATGTAGCAGCTACAGAAGCCAGTAAAGAAGCAATTTGGTTGAAGATGCTATTGGAGGAGCTTGGGCACAATCAAGAGTTTGTCTCTCTATTTTGTGACAGTCAAAGCGCCTTGCATCTAGCAAGGAATCCAACATTTCATTCAAGGACAAAACACATACGAGTTCAATACCATTTGATTCGTGAAAAGGTGGAAGAAGGGATGGTAGATATGCAGAAGATCCATACCAAAGACAACATAGCAGATTTCATGACGAAGGTGATCAACGCTGATAAATTTACCTGGTGTCGATCCTCTTGTGGCCTGTCAGAAACGTAAGCAACATGAAGGTACAAGGTAGAAAGAATGGTGTGAAGATATGATTGTTCTAATCAAATCTTCAAATGGGAGATTGTTAAAAGTCATCATGGGCGGCCAATCTTCTAGATGGCAGCCAACTACTTTGATTTAATTCAAAGATGGTTGCATTTTGTTGAAAAGAAAGGGATAACTACAACATTTTAATCATTAAACTTTAGGGTATTTATAAGATTAAGTCCTTAAGATTTAGCTATAAATACCCTATCCCATTTAGCTTCAAAATCATCCCAAAGCATTCTAGCTTTCTTCCAATACTAGAGAGAATTTAGAGAGTTTCTTGAGAGTTATTTTCTCCTTTTTATCAAGAGAGAATTATCATTGTTTTCTCCTTGGTAGATCGAGAGAGGTTGTAATTCCTATTTTCTCATAGTGAAATTCTTCTACCGTTGCCCGTGGTTTTTACCCTAAATTTTTTAGGGGTTTTCCACGTAAATTTTGTCTCTTTTATTTTCTCAAATTATCAGTTGCGATTTTACTCTATCCGATAGCCGTCTTCCGCAACATATACAAGGATACCATTATGGAAAGAGTAAAAATCATACCAAGCTTAGTTCCGACCAGAATTGTCGGAACACCAGGTGCATAATGCTTCAATTCAGGAATCCACTGAAACGAAAAACAACATCAGCATTCACAGGCCATTACAGAGACATCTCACACTGCACAAAATTATGTTCTACATGCAGAAAATATTCAATTTTTAAACCTTCTTGGCGACATTTTCATAGCTGGCCTTGCTGATGAGGGAAAATTCAAGGATAAACACTTCGACCCCGCGATAGCTCAACGGCCTTAGTCTATTGTAATCTTCATGTCCTGTTCCGAAGCAATGATTTCAAACCAGAGCAAGAAAGGACTCTAACTTACAAATAAAAGAGTAATTGCAGAAGCTGTTTCCAAATTACCAGCAGTATCCCAAATTACCATCCACGACATTATTTACACTGAAATTGTCGAAAACTGTGGGTACGTAGTCCTGTTACCATGTCAATTGTAAAAACAAACATAATAAGATCGAAAGGCTTTATCGTTTCTCTTGACGAAGCAAACCCTCTAATGAAGATGGTTGATTAGAGAGTAGAAGCGAAGTGAAATGAAATGAGAGGCAAATGAGGAGAGAGAGGAAGAGGAAAAGTGAACAAAATTACAAAAATGATAAGAGATAGAAGAGAAACAGAGACATGACAGATGTTCGGATATTACTGATTTTTAAATTTTTCCTATTCGGCTTTTATTATTTTATAATATTAAACTAAAAAAATAAAGTACCCAAATGATTCCAGAATTATAGGGTTATTTTGTTAAATATTTATACTATTAAAAATTACAAAATGAACTTTTGATTATAGGGTATTGCTTTGTTAAGTCTCCCGATCATTAAAAGTTATAAAATGATCATCTGACTATTCATATGTTCTAAACTCATCATTTTTCATTGTTAAAAAATTGACAACAGTTTGAGCTGAACGTTAACTTATTGAGTGAAATATGATAAAATCTTATTTTAGAATCTCAAACAACTATACAGTTGAAACAATCCTGGATCAAATTTTATCATATCTTAGTCAGCAGGTTAACATCCAACTTAGACGATCGTCAATTTTTTTAACAAAAAAAATTGGAACATATTAATACTCGATGTGACTATTTTGTAACTTTTAATAATAGAGAAACTCAACAAAACAACACTCTATAGTCAAATGACTATTTTATAACTTTTAATAGTTGAATGACTCAACAAAATATTATCTTATAGTCGGAAATCATTTGTATACTTTAACCGATAAAAAACCAGTATGACACTCCTTTTTCAACCTTTTGTTTTCTATGTATGGGTACGACTTTCATAAAACCTTCAGCCCGATGGTCAAGCATGTTATAATGAGAGCTATTCTACCTGTAGCTATAACCAAATAATGGTGTATACGCTAATTTGACATTAATAATGCTTTTTCAAATGTCGATTTATTTGAAAAGTCTTGATTTGAAAAGTTTAAAGAATATGTCACGCCCTTGGAACTTCAACGCCTCCGAACATGCGGCCTTAGTCGCTTTTTCAGTGATTGTAGTTAAGTCAGCCTGAAAACAACCCAAACAAAGATGCTTATATTCTCAACGGAAGTAAAAACAAGAGAACTAGCACAAAAGGAATATAAGAAAGTTTTGAGAGAAGAATGTTCTTATGATTTCTCAAAGTGAAGGGGTGAGTATAAATGATGAGGGGAGACCTCTATTCTATTTATAGTTTAAGCTCCCCTCAATGAACGGCTAAGATCTAATTACATCGACGACCTAAATTGAATACACCACTTAAGTAGTCTTGGTCTATTTCTCATGGGTTGACCTCGGTTGTGGGTTAGTGGTCCGTGACAAATATATAAAACTAGAAGGTTTTACTTATACTCCATGTTTAAAAGAATCCCAAGGTATGGTACAATCAAATATGGTCTAAAGGTTACTTATACTCCATGCTTATCCATAACAAGACTTGTTGATGCAAACTGGAGGTTTAATATTGATGATGGGAAGTATATAACTAGATATTATATTTATTTTAAAGGAAACTTATTATTTTAGGGTTCAAAGAAAAACATATGGTTTCTTCATCCACTATTAAGGTCGAGTATATGTAGAATATGTGTTTATTGGTGAAAAGAAAACTTTTATTCACAGTATCATCAACAAGAGAAACTGTACATTAAGTTTTATTTAAGAGAAGAACTAGAGCCCTAGTTGAGTAAAGAGTCCTTAGTGAACTTTATCCTTATCTACAATTAGATTAGAGTTAGAGATAAACCCAAATACTAATATTTACAAGATAATTTTAAGGCTAGAGATGGTGCATAGCTTACACTCCTCCTAACCTGGGGAGTAAATATTATAAAAGCCCAACTTGGATGTGATCTCGTCGAAAGTAACCCTCGAAAGTGTCTTGGTCAGAATATCCACTAACTGATTTTTTTGAAGGAACATAATTTAGTCATATTGTACCACCATTCACATTTTCAGAAATAAAATGTAAGTCGATCTCCACATGTTTTGTCTGTTGTGATGAACTGGATTCTTAGCAATGCTTATGGCTGAGTTGTTGTCACTTCGAAGTTCAAAATAATTGCTATTACATACCTCTAATTCAATTTAGCCAAACAGTGCAACTACCCACAACAACCGAAATCGAATCATCAACAGTCCGAACACAAAAAGAAGAAATTGCTCTGTGAAAATTCTGAAATAATTTGAAATCCTCGATCATATGATCACTAGCTCCATAATAAATAATCCAAGAAGTTAAAACGGGCGAAGAAGACAAGGATGCCGCCTCAGGGACAACCTCGGAAGAGGTTGGGAAAACTATTGTGGCTGAAAAAGAAAGATCTAACCTAAATTGATACCACATAGAATATGTGTTTGCTGATGAAAAGAAAACGTTTATTTACCGTGTCGTAACCAATTTTCGCCCGGGTACGAATTTGTTCTTGGCGGGAAAATATGTGAATAAAAGAATAGTTTTTAATAAAATGTTTTGGAGTTGCCATCGACCTTTTTGGGTAAGGTAGGTCGAATGCCTAAAAATCATTTTTTTTAAAAGAGTTTTTAAGAAAAAAACTATTTAAAAGATAAATTGATCTGCGTTTAACAAAAAATTCATTCTTTTTAGTAATAAAAAGGGATTCGTGGTCGGTTACGTTTAGGGGAGGATTAGCACCCCTATAACGCCCAAAATTGGTACCCTTCGATTATAAATTGTCTCTATTATTAGAAATTTAAAAATTCGACTATAAATTTAATTTATGATCATATTATTTCAGATTCAATCGAATAATTAAAATAATTAAAGTATATATATATATATATATATATATATATATATATATATATATATATACTTAGAGTTTTATAAATAGGATATTTATTTATTTAAAAATATTAGAAAAATACATCTAGTTACTTTAAGACAACCCCTTTATTCATATTTAAAAAATGAATAAATATTAATAAGAATAGAAAAAATAATTTGATTAAAATTAAAACAACTATATATATTTATTTATTTAAAAATAACGGAATAGAACCTATAGTTAATTTAAGACAACCCTTTTTTAATATTTAAAAATAAATAAATGTTATTATTTAATTAAATATACATATGTTTATATGACTAAAATAATAATTAAATAATAATTAAAGTACTAAATTAAACATATTGAAATTTAAAGGATAAAAATTAAATTAAATTAAATTGCAATTAAACAGTGACTAAAATAAATAAAATTAAAATAATAGGATTAAATTTAAAAGTAATAAAACTTATGGTCAAAAATGAATAATATTTAAAATATCAGGGATTAAATTATAATATATCAAATTAAAGGCCCTAGTTCGAAATATTATTAAATCTAGGTACTATTAGTGTAATTTAACCATAATTAATTAATTCGGGTTAAAATAAAAATTATAAAAATTGTAAGGGCTAAATATTCTATTCACCGTAATTATATATGAATATATAGGTAAGGATTATAAATAAATAAATCAAAATATAAAAACCGAATTGAAATGCGTAATAACTTGATTTTAGTGACCAAAATGATAAATTTAAAAATTGGGAGTACTGCTCCTGTGGTTTTCCCATGAGAGAAATTACACAGAGACCTCTCCCCAAAACGACGCCGTTCGGGGAGGGGTATATAAACCCATTTAACTGGCCTTTTTGGGCCATTTTCCTCATTTTTTTATTTTTTCATTCTCTCTCTAAATGAGAGAATGAAAATTTTCCTATGCTTTCTCTCTAAAACCCTCCACCGGAGAGAGTCCGATCTCCGGCCGGCAGCCGTGCTCCAGCTCCGATCGCCGTTGTCGGTGGCCGAAATTTGGGAAAATAACCCTGAATTTCCCTTTTTTTACCCTAAGGTCGAATATGGTCTCTTTTCATCCTAAAACCTTCTAGATTTCCCTAGATCTAAAAGAAACCGTAGGTATTACCTTCGATTATACAATGTTTCAGACGAGTGGGGTAAGTTTTCTTCTCTTTTCCTTTTGTTTTTGCTTTCGATTTGTTGTTGACTAGGATCGTTGGTAGCTTTTTATTCGTATCTTGCTTGTTGTTGTCGTCTATATGGTTGCTTGCTCTCCGTTGTTGTCGTGTATGACTGTTGTTCTTGGTGTTTTCTTGCATGTTCAGTGGATGGCTTTTATAGACACCACGAAGCTCTCCATGGATGGGTAATAGGGGCGAAGTTCGATGAGTCACCAAACTATAGTGGTGACTCACCCTAGGCTTTAACGTGTACAGTTGCTTCTGGTCTTTTGGAGTCTTCGTCGGAGGCGTGACAGCAGCGGACTGTCAGAGGCGTGGCAGCAGCGAACCATCGGCATTGGCTGGTTAGGTCACCTGGCAGTGGCTGAGGTGGCGTTGGTTGAGATAGGGTTTAGAAACCCTAGCTATATTAGGGCTAGTCTTGGGCTTCTCGGGTTTGTGGGTTTGGATCGGTTCTGCTGTTGAACAGGGTCTGGACATATAAACGGGCCTCCGATTATAATTGTTGTAAATTGGGCCTTCACTTCGGGTTTGGGCCTGTAATAATATTTGTAAATATTATTTAATAATAATAATAATATAATAAAATAAAAATAATAAAATAATAATTAAAAACTATGACAAAAACTTAGTGTCTACAGCTGCCCATCTTTGCTCATTCTTGTGTTAACAAGAATAGGACAAAGACGAAAAGAAAATAAGTTTTTGTCCAGTTGACTTCTCTTGATTAAGACGGAGTTGTT